AGTTGGTCTAATAAAAGATACAGCCTCTCCTTACAAGCCTGCTCTGCACTCCTGAGCTCAGGTCGTTTATCCTTCCCTTCGTGCTGCTGACAATGACTGAGGCTCCCTGGCCAGGCAATATCTGGGAAGTCAATGCTGTGTCAAGCCCCAGGTTTACATCCATGGCCACAGTGAATGGACTTATTTTACTGGAGAGACTCATCAGCTCTCCCTCCTGCTGCTTTTGCTGCAGGGAAAGCAAAACCTGTGGGTGAATTCCACAGCCCCTTCCCTGGGGAGGTGGGCTCAGGCACCCAGGTACCTCATGGGTGCCTGCAGAGAGAGTCTACCCCAGGCAGGGGAATCCCAAGGGCTTCCCACCAGGCATTTCTCACCCTGGGGAGGATGAACAACTCTTCAGCCACTCCTTAGCTATTACTTAACTGCTAAAGTTGCTGAGGAAAGGCCAGGAGGTGGCCCAGAGGTGGCACTGCCTTTTGAATTTTCGGTACCCAGAGGCCTTCTCCGGGTCCTGGAGAGCCCAGGCTGCCATCTGACTCCATGAGGACAGGTTTGGTGCTCTCTGCCACAGTGCCATGTCCTTCCCAGGGACAGCAATGTCAACCCAAGTGGCTGCTGGCCTGGCTGCAGTCGGTGCTGCCCAACACAGCCCTTCCTGTGGCAACACAGAGAACTGGAGATGTGAGGCACAGAGAAGGAAGAAGATTAGACACATAGAGGGAAGAAGATTTTTCCAGCGAGGGTGGTCAAACACTGGCACAGGCTGCCCAGAGAGGTGGTGGATGCCCCCTCCCTGAAAACATTAAAAATGAGGTTGGATGAAGCTCTGAGCAAGCTGGTCCAGAGGAAGGTGTCCCTGCTCATTGCAAGGGGCTTGGATTCAATGACCTTTACAGGTCCCTTCCAACCCAAGCCATTCCATGACTTTATAATTCTAGAATTGTGCTTAATTTGATGGTCTGGGAAGGCTGATATAATTCAGGGCACGGAATCCTGCTGGTGGCTCCCTGAGCAGGATCTTCACCCCAAGGAGCAGCCCTGGACCTGCCCATGGAGTCAGTGGGGGACAGGTTTCCCAGTGTTGGTGGTGAGTGGCCACACCACAGGGTTATCACCTGCAGGGAGCCCGAGCCAGGAGGGAAATCCCCTGGAGAAAAAATACACATCACCTTCCTATGAACAGCAAAGTGCAAAGAGAAATGGATGCTGCAAAAGAGTAAAGAACAGATCAGCTTTGAGGAGGGAGATCTGGAAGTGCTCCTTACTCTGAAGGATGGGGGGGGGGGGGTCCATGGGATCATGGAGTATCACAGGGCAGAACAAAAATGAAGTGTTGAAAGGGCTGTAAACTTCACCCTCAGGGCTTAAACCGGGTCCTCATCCACGGGGAATCTTTATTTTTGGAGCAGGTTGTGGTGTCTTCAGAGGAAGCATCTCCTGTTGGCCAGGGTGAGAAGGCAGCTCTGGGCTGATCCAATCTGCCACATCCATCACTGCTCCCCTCTCGTGTCATGGATGTCCAGGGCAGTGACCTGCTCCACTAAATCTCTCCAAGCAGGGGGCTGGATCCATGTAACTGTTTGTAGCTGGAGTTGCATCAGTGATTTTCTCAGGGTTGAGGGAGGATAAGATTGAGCAAGAAATACTGTAAAAATGTAAAAAAACCCCCACCAAACCTCTAAGTCTGTTCCACACAGTATCTGTGAGTGCATCAGTGCTGCTGCTTGTATGAGCTGCTGGGTGCATATATTTTCCATAATATCTCTCTCAGAAAATATTATTTGATGGCATGTGATTAAAAAGGGTCTTTTTTTAATATGTGGCACATGCATAAATAAATGGATGTGTGCACTTGCATGTAAAATAAGCAAATACAAGGGGAAAGTAGCAAAATAATCATCCCTGGCAGTGACTGCTGGGATTCTGTGCACTGAGCTAATGCTAGAGAGTTGGAAAAAGCATTCCTGGTGGTGGGAATCTCACCAGGTCATGCAGAACAGCGAGGGGGACTGATGTCTTCAGTGTCCCTAAAAAACTCCAGAGACTCAGAAGTCTTTCCAAAATGTGCTTCCTTCAATTAAAAATCAATTAATACTCCCCTCCTTTTCCCAGTGCCTGAAGCATTAAAAAAAAAAAAAAAAAAAAAGTTATTTAAAGATCCACTCTTTTCCTAAATAAAGTTTGGAACGGGGGTATTTTCGAATGATAGGTGCTCTTCTCTCACTTTTGGCTGTTGCAAAAACAACCATGATTCCTGTGAGCAAGAGGAGGAGGATGAAGGTAGAAATACAGCTCTATTTATGCTGATACTGGATGTCGGGCTACATGATCTCATCTAATTTAAAGTTACTCCAAATGAACTATCTCCAAGAATATAATTTTAACGTTTCCCTATCAGGCCATCCTTATCTCTCTGCATTACCATGATATCATTCAGGAATAATAATCGCACTATTAGTTTTGGTGTCTAAACAAGCTGCCGAGGAGAAAGGGATTTCAGTCACCGCCCTGGAAATCGCTGCTCTCCCAAAAAAAAAAAAAAAAACCACCCAAAAAACAAACCCCAAACCCCCCAAAACTGTACAAACTTTATAAAATCCAACCTCGGGGGATGCACAGCTGCAACGGACGCCTTTCCAGGACAGGTGATTTCGAGGGAAAATGGAAGTATTTTAAGCATTTAAGGACGGAGGCGTTGGCGTCTCGAAGGAAATCTTTCTTTTCCTCCTTTTTTTTTTTTTTTTTGTTCGCGGGGGGATATCTGGGATGTAAATGAACAAACTGGAGCCCGAAATGCCCCGAGCTGATGCAGCGTGCGCTGCAGCAGGCGCGGGCGGCAGCCAATGAAAGCCGGGCTGCCGATTTTTTTATCATTAATATTGCGGAGCAACATTAACTGATTGGAAAGACTTTTCGGGAGCGGGCAGAGCCTGCGAGCCATCACTCCCTCCCGAACGATTTCGTCTTGCTACCCGGATTTTGGAGGGCGACGCCGGGTCCCCCTCGTTCCGTCTTGGCGAGGGATGATAATTTCTCCCCCTCCTTCGAAGAATTTGAAAATAAGCAATAAAAACAAAGGGAGTTTTGTGTTTTACACGGCGGAGGGGGGAACACGCGGTGCTGAGGAGAGGAGCGACGGGGAGCGGCTCCAGCGCGGCTTTCCCGGGGACGCGAAGCGCGGGGCTGGGGCCGCTGCGATCGCTGTTTCCACGGGAAAAGGGGGGTAAAAAAAGAAGTTTCCACGCGTGTCACCCCACCACGGCCACGGCCAAGCCCGCGGGGGTCTGTCGGGGCGAGCAGCGCTCGGAAATCCCGGCCCCGGCCCGCCGGGATACCGGGACCGCGCGTGGCACGAGGTGCCCGAGGGGGTCACAGCGCAGGCGACCCTGGGGGGGACAACTGAGGGAAGGGGCCGCCCGCACTCCCTTTTTTTGTTTGCGGGTCCCATATGGACATCAGCGGCTCCTGGGGGTGAAGGCAAGCGCGGGGGAGAGCCCACCTTGGGATGGGGGGAAATTTTCCCGAGGAATTTCCCGCCCGCCGCCCCCTCTCCCGCTCCGGGCACGGCTGTCCCGGCGAGGGCCGGGAAATTTGCGGGGCATTTCTGGGTGCAACGAAAAAAGCCGCTGGGACGGGGCGGGCGGCAGCAGAGCCAGAGCCGCGGGCGCTGCCGGCCCCGTCCAGGTGAGCGGGCTCCAGATCCTTTGCCCTTTTTTTCTTCCTCCTCCTCATCTTCCTCCTCCTCCTCGGCTCCTCACGCTCGGGGCTCTGCCGGCAAATGAAAGTCATTTATTGTGAACAAGGAGGAAATAAGGACGAGGGTGATTTATTCTATTACTATTATTATTATTATTATTTGGAGGAGGAAGGGGGTAGGTGAGTGCCCCCAAATAGCAGCGCCCTGGCACCGAGAGGCCGCGGCCGAGGTTCCCCCCGGGCAAGAGGGGAAGTTCTGGGCGGAGCGGCGCGGGGGGAGCCCCGAGGGGCCGGACCGGCCGCCCCCCCGCCCGTCCCGGGAGCCCCCCCCGGCATCTCGTTTCTCTCCCCGGTCGCTGTCGGACGCGAGCGGGCGGGGCCGGCTTTTCGGAGCAGGTTTGTTAACCAAAGCAGGTGCTAAAAACCAATAAGCCCGGAACAAACGCGGTCCCCCCCGGGAGCCGGGACAATTGTTTCCATTTAATAAATATTTTTCCCACGGGCGTTTCGCGGGAGGCAGGCAATTATTCAAAGCAAGCCGGGACGCGGGCCGGCTCCCAGGGTTAAGCGGGGCTGCGGAGCGGGGAAAGCGGGGGTTGGGGGAGCGGGAGAGCGGCCGGGAGCGCGGGGAAGGCGGGGGGGAAGCGGCAGAGCAGCAGCGCTCGCAGCCCCGACGGCGGCGGCAGAGCCCGGAGGGCGCCGGGACCGGCCCCGCTCCGCGCACCCCCGGCACGGGGGAGGACGAGGAGCACGGGGACGACCCCCTTCGCCTTCCCCCTTCCTCCACAGCTGCTCTTAACGCAGCAACTCACAAAAGCCTTCCTTTTAATCCGCGCGTTGGTAGAGGGTGGGGGGGTCCTCCCGTCCCCTCCTTCCTCCTTTCCTCCTCCTCCCCGCGCCGTCCCCTCCCCTCCTCTTCCTCTCGCCCTTCCTCTCTCCCTCTCTTTTTAAGCGGGCCCCCTCCGCGCTGATTGGGCGCCCGGCCGCGCTGTGACCGCCCTGCCGCTATGTCAGCCTGCCCGCCGCAGCCCCGCGCCTTTGAACTGCCCCGCACGGCCCCGCGTCCCCACGGCCGGCCCGCAGCAGCGCCCGGCGGCTCGCCGCCCGCCTAGCCGCCCGCCGGGCCCCGCGGGCCGCGCTCCGCTCCGCGCCCCGCTCCGCGCCCCGCCCCGGCACGGCTCCCGCCGGGGACGGCCTTGGCGGAGGACCTGTGATGATCAGCTGAGCCCGCTCCTCCCGCTCCTCCGGCTCCTTCGGCCTCCTCCTCCTCTTCTTCTTCCTCCTCCTCCTCCTCCCGCCGCCGTCCGGAGCCCCGCACGGCCGCGCCGCGCCCCGCACCGCCGCCCGCCCGCCCGCCCGGCCGAAGCATGTCCAAGCCCAGCGACCACATCAAGCGCCCCATGAACGCCTTCATGGTGTGGTCCCGCGGCCAACGGCGCAAGATGGCCCAGGAGAACCCCAAAATGCACAACTCGGAGATTAGCAAGCGGCTGGGCGCGGAGTGGAAGTTGCTCTCCGAGGCGGAGAAGCGCCCCTACATCGACGAGGCCAAGCGGCTGCGGGCGCAGCACATGAAGGAGCATCCCGACTACAAGTACCGTCCCCGGCGCAAGCCCAAGAACCTGCTGAAAAAGGACAGGTATGTCTTCCCTTTGCCTTACCTCGGGGAAACCGATCCCTTAAAGGCTGCCGGGCTTCCCGTGGGGGCCACTGACTCGCTGCTGAGCTCCCCGGAGAAGGCCAGGGCTTTCCTGCCTCCCACCTCAGCACCTTACTCCTTACTTGACCCCAGCCAGTTCAGCTCCAGCGCCATTCAGAAGATGACTGAGGTTCCTCACACCTTAGCCACCAGCACCCTGCCCTACGCCTCCACCTTGGGATACCAGAACGGGGCGTTCGGCAGCTTGAGCTGCCCCAGCCAACACACCCACACTCACCCCTCGCCAACTAACCCGGGCTATGTCGTGCCGTGTAACTGTACCGCTTGGTCGGCTTCCAGTTTGCAACCTCCGGTTGCCTACATATTATTCCCGGGCATGACCAAGACTGGGATAGACCCCTATTCTTCAGCACACGCGACTGCCATGTAACACCCACCCACCCGCACCCCACGGGCGTGTGCGTGCGCGTGTCCCCCGCCCCGGGTGGCGGCCGGAACCGGGATTCCTTCGTGTGTGCATGTACATAAAACCTGCAGGAGCAAAAGGCCACCCGACCCAGGACTCTGCCGCCCGCCGCCGGGCCGGGACAGACGCGGACGCTGCCTCGGAGATGCTCTCGCCCTAAAGCTCGCCCCGAGAGCTGGCCCCGGGCTCGGGGGGGATCTGCAATCGCGGGGGCAGATAGGAGCCCGGCACTTGTAAGAGTTGTAAATGTGTTTAAAAACAAAAAAGGAAAAGCGAAGCTTGAACTGCCCTTTCGGGACAAAGCGGGGGAGAAAAAGAGAAAAAGAAAAAAAAAAAAAGAGAGAGAGAGGCGTTTTCGATTTTTATTTATTCTCTTAATGTCTATGAGTTCTCCAGGGTCTCATGTCACTTGGACTTGACTTTGGGAAGTCCCGGTCTTACTCTGATTTTATTTTTTTTCCCTTGTTGTTTTCCTTTTGCACATTGAAAGACGAGATCAGCTGTGTTATATATATATAAATATATATATATTTTGCCACCACGCACTACTAGGTAAAATTGCTTTTCATGTCAGAAAAAGGCTCTTCAAAGTCAAAAAAGGAAAAAAAAAAGAAAAAAAGAGGGGAAGAAACATTTATATTTAAAACATATGATAGTGTTTGCTTAATTTAAAACAGATAGTCCTTAAATTTGTGTGATCCAGTGAGACTAGATCTAAGTTTACTTTAGACAGAGCGTCAGGTATGAAGTCAGGCAGTAGAATTGTAAAAAAATTAATACTACTACTACTACTAATAATAATAATAACGAAAAACCGAATAAAAACGATGGCAATTTAAATAAGTTTTCACAATGTCTTGGGGGAAGAAGAAACAGAAACTAAGATGTATCCGGCAGGATTTTACCTCGTTAAACCTTTTCATTTGTTGAACAAAGCCGTTTTGAATAAAGACAATCTGTCATCAAACGAGGCAACTGCGTGGTGTGAGTGCGGGGCCGCGGCCCCGCGTCCCGCACCGGGGGCTGCCCCCGGCTCTCCCCGCCCCGACCCCCGAGCGCTGCGGCTCGGAGCCGCTTTGGAACCGAGCCGAGCCGGGTCGGGCTCCTTTGGAGCCCGTCGGGGAAACGCGGCTGCGGGGAGAGAGAACTCGCGGAACGCGGGGATGGAGCGGAGCAAAGCCCGGGGGCTGCGGGGGCTGCTCCCCCACGGCCCTGACCCCCATCCCGTCCGGGAACAGGGTTTTCCCAAGTTGCCTCCGCGGCGTTGAAGTTTTACCGGTGCGAGGAGATATTTGGAGCGGGGAGGGGAGCGTTGGCGGTGCTGGAAGGGGGTGGTTTGGAATAAGCGTCTTGTCCGGCTCGATTAGTGGTGTTTGGGGGGGCTCTTCCCTCTGCAGAGGGAGGGAATTGGGGGGCAGAGACGAGGGGAAGGAGGATGAGGCAGAGGATCCGTCTGGAGGGGCTGAATAGCCGGAGCGCGGCGTGTTTGGATGTGCTTTGCTCATTAAGTGCTCTTTGGAGACCGATGTTAGAATTAAACGGCGTAACACAATTAACATACATGGGGCTTGAATGGGAGGGTAAGCGGGGGAAGAATAGATAGATAAATAAATGAGAGATCAGGCGAAGGTAAACAAAAGGCGAGAGGAGAAAAGGGCTGAAAGGAGAGGTTAGAATGGCTGCTCCAGCCTCGTTTAGCATGACAAAACGGCTCTTACAAATGAGGACAATTAAAGGAGCTGGCTTGGGGAGGGCCGGGAGCCGCGGGACGATCCGCTGGGACGCGCGGGGCTGGCTGCGGCCGGCGTGGGGCGGCGCGGCGGCGGCGGGCGCTGATGTAACCCCAGCTGACAGGCGCTGTCAGCCCGGCTGATAACACCGATAGCTCAGTGTCCGCCGACATCCAGCCGCATTAGGCTGACAATGGGCGCGGGCAGAGCCGGGCGGGGGGAGAGCGCCGGCCCCGGCCCGCCGGGCCCCGCCGGGGATGGGGCAGAGCGGGGGCCCCGCGCTCCCACCGCGGGCCAGCTTTGGGGGACACCCTGAGCCGGGAGCCCCTCGGGGGGGGCCGGGGCCTCGGGGCGACAGCGGGGTGAGGTGGCGACGCAGGAGCGACAGGGCTGGAAACTTTGGCGGGGATCTTTCCTTCGTACTTTCCCTCTTTCTTTCCCTCTTTCTTTCCCTCTCTTGCTTCTTTCCTCCTCTTTTCCTCTTATCCTTCCTTCCTCCCTTCTTTTCTTCCTTCATTCCTTCCTACCTTTCTTCCTTCTTTTCTTGTCTTTATTTTTTAATCTTTTCTCCCCCTCTCATTTCCCCCCTTCTCTCTCTATTCCCTTTCTCTCCTTCCGTTCTCTTTCTCCCTCTCCCTTTTTTCCCCGTTTGTGTCTCTCTTTTCTTGCCCTCTATTCCTGTTCCTCGTTCTCTTTTCCTCGCTCCCTCGCCGTCCCCCTCCCGTCCGTCTCTCCTGGCCCTGCGTTTCGTTCCCGTTCCCCGCGCCGTGTTATCCCTCCAACCCTCTCACCGGGCTGCAGGTGTGTAGCTATTTAACTCGTGGAGATAAATAAATTAAATAATGATCTTGACACTGCAATGAACCGATTGCTGACTTTGATGTCAAAAGGAAACCAAAAACAGAAAGAAAGGGGGAGAGAGAGAGAGAGAGAGAGAGGGGGGTGAAAAAAAAGCTATTCCCTCGAGGGGGAAATGCAGCTCCTTGTCAAACCTGTTTCCCCACAACTGTCTCCTTCTTTCAATAAAATCATTAAACAAAGGCCGCGGGGTTGTGGGCACCACGCCTTGGGTGCGCGGCCGGGCGCTGTCCCGGGCCGGGCTGCGGGACCGCGCCCGCACCCGCGGAGCCGAGCGGGGCCGAGCGGGGCCCGGAGCACCGCGGCCTCGGGCCCGAGGCGCTCCCGCCACCGGGCCCGCTCCCCCTCAGCTCCCCTCACCCCAATTCCCCTTTTTTCATTTTCTTTTCTTTTCTTTTCTTTTCTTTTCTTTTCTTTTCTTTTCTTTTCTT